TGAAAGACAACAAGATTTGCGATGTCAATGCCGCGCCCACCGAACGGGCAATGGCCCTGGTTGCGGCTATGGAAAGCGAAGAGAAGCTCGACAACTTGATGAGGTAGGCCTCCATCGCGATTTCCTCATTCCACCCAACTGATTCTTGCAGTAAATCGAGGGGTGTAGCACGACTGGGCCTCCCTGCCTACAACTGGTGGGGTGAGGCATTGCACGGTGTAGCAGGAGCCCCGGGAATCAACTTCACCGAACCATTCACGAACGCCACCTCTTTCCCCATGCCATTGCTCATGTCAGCTGCATTCGATGACGACCTCATCTTCAAGATCGCTAACATCATTGGAAATGAGGCCCGTGCATTCGGCAATGGAGGTGTGGCCCCAGTCGACTACTGGACTCCAGACATCAACCCGTTCCGTGATCCTCGCTGGGGTCGAGGCTCGGAGACGCCAGGCGAAGACATTTTGCGCATCAAGGGCTACACAAACAGTCTGCTCGCTGGACTAGAGGGCGATCAAGCTCAGAGGAAGATCATCGCGACATGCAAGCACTACGTTGGCTACGACATGGAGGCTTGGGGCGGCGTCGATCGCCACAACTTTGACGCCAAGATCACTTTGCAGGATCTGGCCGAGTACTACATGCCGCCTTTCCAGCAATGCGCGCGAGACTCCAAAGTCGGCTCGTTCATGTGCTCGTACAACGCTGTCAACGGCGTCCCTACATGCGCCGATACGTACGTTCTGCAGACCATCTTGCGCGACCACTGGAACTGGACAGAAAGCAACAACTACATCACCAGTGATTGTGAGGCTGTCGCTGACATTTCCGAGAACCACAACTACACAGATACGCTCGCCGAAGGTACAGCAGTCGCCTTCATCGCCGGCATGGACAACAGCTGCGAGTACGAAGGATCTTCCGATATCCCTGGAGCTTGGAGTCAAGGACTCTTGAACGTCACCGTTATTGACAGGGCGCTCACGCGGCAGTACGAGGGTCTCGTTCGTGCTGGCTACTTTGACGGTGCTGGAGCTATATACGCAGACCTAGGAATCGATGATGTAAACACACCGGAGGCACAGCAACTTTCTCTCCAAGTCGCATCAGAAGGTCTCGTTATGCTAAAGAATGACCACACGCTCTCTCTTGCTCTCTCCAATGGGTCTAATGTCGCCATGATCGGTTTCTGGGCCAATGACTCGTCGAAGTTGTCCGGTATCTACAGCGGCCCTGCTCCCTACCTGCGTACTCCCGTGTGGGCCGGTGAACAGCTCGGATTGAACATGTCTATTGCCACTGGCCCTGTTTTGCAGAACTCTAGTGCTCGCGATAATTGGACAACGAACGCGCTCATTGCGGCCGAAGGGTCTGACTACATCATCTACTTTGGTGGCCTGGACACTTCAGCAGCGGCAGAAGGCTTCGATCGTACCGACATCAGCTGGCCTAGCGCACAAGTCGAACTCATCACCAAGCTTGCTCAGCTTGGAAAGCCGCTTGTGGTTGTTGTATTGGGCGACATGGTTGACAACTCTCCCCTACTGTCGATGGAAGGCGTCAACTCCGTCATCTGGGCTAACTGGCCCGGTCAAGATGGTGGATTGGCCGTCATGGATGTCATCACTGGCGCGCATGCCGTCGCAGGTCGTCTGCCAATCACGCAATACCCCGCAAGCTACACCAATCTCTCGATGCTAAACATGAACTTACGCCCCGGTGCCATTAGTCCAGGACGCACCTATCGCTGGTACAACCAGTCCGTGCAGCCCTTCGGCTTTGGCTTGCATTACACTACCTTTGATGCGAACTTCAGCAGCAGCGAAGGACTCACCTACAACATCCAGGATATCATGAGCGATTGTTCGCATATGTATCCTGATCTGTGCGACGTTGCGCCACTGGAGATTGGTGTGACTAATAAGGGTAACACGACTTCCGATTTCGTCGCTCTGGCTTTCATCAAGGGTGAGGCTGGACCAAAGCCCTACCCTCTCAAGACACTAGTCTCATACGCGCGATTGAGGGACATTGTTGGTGGTCAGACGAAGATGGCATCGCTTTCTCTCACGCTTGGAACGCTGGCGCGGGTCGACCAAATGGGCAACACGGTCGTGTATCCGGGAGAGTACACACTGCTTCTTGACGAACCTACGCAGGCTGAGCTGAAGCTCACGATCACGGGTGAAGAGACCGTGCTGGACAAGTGGCCTCAGCCGTCAGCATCTTCGTAGATGATGAGCTTGATATCGCTATTGCGTTGGATGAATATCAAACAACTTTGCAACCATGCGTAGTGCCGCTTTGTTCTGTGTGTCATGTTTCTGATTCCAATCAATAGCGATCGAAGATCTTATGCCCGAGATCTGTCACTAATTGCGTTCCTGCAGTAAATGCGTAGCCGGAGAAGACGTCGCCTTAGTCTTGAGTTATTCCGTAGGTAAAAAGTATAGAGTTAATTACTAGGCACAAAGTACTTTTTACCTAAGCACAATGTACTTCTTACCTAGGTAAAAAGTCTTAGAGTTTATACCTAGGTACAAAGGTTTTTACCTAAGTAGTATATATATACACTAATATAGCAGTATTCTCTTAGGTAAACATGTTAATACCTAAGAAGAAAGGTTTATACCTAAGAAAAACAGTTTATACCTAAAGAAAAGAGTTTATACCTAAGTAGAGATGTTTATACCTAGGTAAAAGGTATCTTTTACTTAGGTCAAAACGTTTGTACCTGAGCAGAAACCGCGGCTAAGCACTGATCGTCTACTGCGCCGCTTATGTTTGACAAACAGCGCGTGCGGTACGTGCCTCTTGAGTGCATACAGTCACATGATTTGGTGGCGTAGCTTTCTTGACGCAGAACCCTGCAAGATCTCGTTGACGTTGCAACACCATTCTCTTGAGCGACTATCTTATATCGCGATCGAAAATCGACGTCTCAGGGCATTCGCAATATCAGATCATGATGCAGACAACTACTCCACTCCAAGAGCCCATGGACAAGTCTCGCGTGGACAGCCGAGTCTACAACGGGGACTTCCAAGTCGACGAGAACGTTCTCCTCAAGTTCCCAAATGGTACAAAGGTCATTTCTGCGCAGCGCTTCGGAGTATCATCCTGGACTGTCACCGCGCGGCTACATCTCCTATTGCCCGACGGTACCGATGAACGCTACTTTCTCAAGTCGGCCGCAGAGGCTCATGGTCGTACCTTGATAAAAGGCGAATTTAACGCGATGTCTGAGCTGTACAAGTGGGCGCCTTATCTCGTGCCTAAGCCGCACTCGTGGGGACGATACCGAGGTGACGAACCGGAGGCGTACTTCTTCCTTTCACAATACATTGACATGAGCGACCAAATGCCTGATCCTCATCAGCTGTGTGAGAAGTTGGCCCGTCTCCATCGCGAAAGCACCTCACCTACTAGTCAATACGGATTCCATGTTACGACCTGCCAGGGTCGTGCGACTCAGTCTGTAGCATGGGAGAGCGACTGGACGGTGTTCTTCACCAAACTTCTGCAGCACGTCATCGATGTCGACATCGAGTTGAACGGAGCTTGGAATGGGCTCGACAAGGCCGAGAAGCGGCTCATTCAGTTTGTGATTCCGAGACTGCTTGGAGCCCTAACAGCGGAAGGTCGTAAGATCAAGCCAAGCCTGATCCACGGTGATCTCTGGGAAGGCAACATCGGTGCAGCCATTGACGGTAATAACGTGTATTTGTTCGACTCTGCTGCGTTCTACGCCCATCATGAGCTAGAAGTGGCGGATTGGAGACCTTACTACAACAAAATCAGCAACAAGGTGTACATGGAAACCTATCTGAAGTACCAAGAGCCTAGCGAACCGAAGGAGGAGTGGGACGATCGGAATCGACTCTACAGTATCTACTGGAATGTCATCTACTCGGTCAACCACGTTGCCCAGGGTAAAGCAATTCGCCAAGTGTAAGTCGAGTGGGAAGTAATAAGGCATAGCTAACACACGAAAAGCGCCTACAACGATATGCTCTTTCTCATCGACAGATACGCGCCTTTTCCAGAAGGCGAGAGACCTCCGACACTACAAGAGGCTGAGATGGCCTCTCTGTCATCTGAGCGGGATCATACTGTGTAGGGCGAACCGCTTAGGGTAAGTGCTTTGGATGCTAGCATATAGACATTGTACTATGATCTGCTCTCATACAAAATCATTGGGAAGCTTATCAGTGATGCTTCAGTTTCCAGCCTTGGTCTCCATGGTTGCAATCGGTCCAGAGACTAGTGATCACTTCTGATTTACGCGACTGTTCCGTATTTGTCTCCAATACATGCCCTTCCATTGTAGCAGGGCGACGCACAAGGCCGACAGTATGCCACTCCACAGGCCTAGAGCCGTAAAGTACCATCCTCTACCAGCTGCGTTCAGCAATGGTTCTAAGATCGCAACTCCTGTCGCGGCCATGGCGCAGCGTGTAATGCTTGTAGCAGCTGCGGCGGTGCTTGGACTTTGAGGGAAAGAATCCACTAGCAAGGTGCTGAATGTCGTGTAGCCGTAGCAACCCCAGAAACCTTGCAAGAATTGTAAGATCAATGGTATAGCCGGGTGGGCGCGATGTTGAACACTCCATCCATAGCCGATCATGGTCGCTGTCGATATTATTAGCATGGCGTAGCTGTATCTTGTCCTCGCACGCTCGATTGGAAACTTCAGAAGGTCATCACCAGATACCTTATCAATGGTCCAGTCGATGCTGCGAGCAATGGCACAGTAATTGTAATCCATCATCTTTCCGGTGAAGTAGGCTCCGGCGATGGTGCCAATGCCACGCGGCAGATATGATAAGCCAATGTAAAGCTCATTCCAATGGTATGTATCTTTGTAGATGTCTGGGCCCGCTGCAACGAAGGAGTAGTCCACTGTGTAGAACGATCCGTGAACCCATAAAATGAGGAAGGTGTCCCTATAGAAGATGATGCGAAAGCAGGCGAGCAAGTTAGACAGTCCGTACTTCCGCTTAGTCGCCTGGCATGGAGCTGCCACTGATGGGGCTGGAGTCGGCCCTCTTTCATTCAGTCTCTTTGCTGCTTTTACCTTTATTCGTTCTCGTAAAAGGCCTACCCAGCTGTACTGCCACCACTTGTATCCAAACTTGTCACTGCCATTGCCAACCATGTTGCGAGCCGTCTCGGGGAGGAGCGCGCCCACGCCAACGAGCAAGACTCCGCCGACAATGAATAAGGCCCAGAATACCCAATTGATATTTCCGCTTGTGTGCGCCACTAAACCTCCAACGACTGGACCTACACAAGTGCCCAGATTCATGGCCATGCTGATTGGGCCTAGCATCTGTCCTCGTTCGCTAGCCACGCAGACGTCTGCAACGACACCAAAGCTGATGGCATACGCTGCACTGGCCCCGAGACTCTGTATCGCGCGCAGGACTAAGAGAATAGCATAGTTGCGCTTGTTAAGAGCTAGTCCCAAGTTACCGATGACGTACAGGCCCAGAGTGGCCAGGAAGTAGGGTCGCCGGCCATGAACATCAGACAGTGGTCCGAATATGACGGGTGAAATGGCTTGGAAGATGATGTAGAGGGTTATTGTAAGATTGATAGCCTGCGCTGTAGTACTGAACTGTGTGCGCAGCAGGGGAAGAAGGGGGAAGTAGATGGTCGCGGTCAAGGGTGACGTGATAGCTGCCAACCCAAGAAGCGGCCGTAGTCGCCGCCGCTGCGACTGCGTGAAGGATGTGTATTCGAGCGGGCTTGGTGCAGGCGCGTCGTCGCACCTGGATTCTTCAGCATCTTTACCCAGTTCCGCATCGCCGAGTCGCGTTGGGGGTGAGGCAGTAATCTCTCCGGCCATGACGCCGAGCTGGTGCTTGGGCGAGGCTGGTCGCGCGAAGTCTGGCGGGGTAAGGCTTCCGACTGGCGCCTTCCGGCTCGCGGCCATCGCTCGTCACGCGTCCGCCGGCAAACCTCCACCTTCTCCTCACCCAACCCCAGAAAACCAAACCCCCCATCCCTGTACGCGCATCTCGTACAGCTGTCGATCACTCCCTTGAGCTGGTGCGCTATGTCAAACGGTGCAGGCCAAGACGTGCAACATGATGCATCGCGACCAATTCCTCCGTCGCCCGCGCCCGTAGCCAGGAAACGCTGCCTGCCGTGAGGTCATCCAGTATGCAGCATAGCGACCACCGGATATTATGAGTCCGTGATGGGCGATTGAAAACGAGTCCGCGGATGGGCAGTTCTCAGCATCAAGCTCGCATCGCAATGGCTACCACAATCTTGCTCTCGGCATGCCTTGCCCTACAGGCAGTAGCCAAAACCGTCAGATCTCCCACACCTCCTATGGGATGGAATTCGTACAACACCTGGAACTGCTTGCCCTCTGAGGAGAAGATTCACGAGAGCGCCCATGGCCTCATCGACCTTGGTCTTAGCAACGCTGGCTACAACTTCGTGACAGTCGACTGCGGCTGGAACGCCCATGATCGAGATGAAGAGGGGAGACTTCAATGGAACGAGACCCTCTTTCCATCTGGTGGCAAGGCACTTGGAGATTATCTCCATGATCTAGGACTGGACTTTGGTCTTTACTCTGGCGCTGGGTATCTACAGTGCGGGTCAGAATCGTTACCTGCGAGTCTGGGGTACGAACAACTAGATGCGGAGAGTTTCGCTGAGTGGGGCGGAGATAGCCTTAAGTATGATCACAAGCCTCCTCAATACGCTTTCGCCCTTGCTAACGTTATGCAGGTACGACAACTGCTACTCTACTTCCAACACCACGATGGTCGACTCTAGCTCCGCAGAAGCTCAATCACCAGCACGTTTCCAACACATGGCGGCCGAATTAGATGCGGTAGACCGCGACATACACTACTACGTCTGCCAGTGGGGAATTGGCACAGATGTCGGCGACTGGGCTGCTGAGGTTGGCAACACCTGGCGGATCAGCAACGACATCTACAATGGCTGGCGCAGCATCTGGCGCATCACCAATCAGGTCGTGCCATACTTCAGGCACACCACTGCTGGCGCCTTTGCAGACATGGATATGCTGACGTAAGTAGAGTGATCTGTATCTGGAGTCGCCAACTGACAAGTCTAGCGTGGGCCTCAATGCCCTTTCCGAAGAGGAAGAGCGCTTCCACTTTGGCATGTGGGCTATCAACAAGTCTCCTCTCATTATCGGCGCCGCCCTCGATCCCGAACGCATTAGTCAGAGCTCGCTAGACATCCTCTCGAACAAGGAAGTCATTGCCATCAATCAAGACCCACTTGCCCAGCAAGCCATGTTGGTCCGTCGCGATACCGAAAACGAGTGGGATATATGGATGGGAAAGCTCTCGGGGTCTAAGCTGGTGCTGGGTGTCGCAAACTGGAAGAACGACTCCCAAGTTGTGGACTTCGATCTAGCAACACTGGGCATAGCTTCGGCCGATGTGCGCGATGTCTGGGCTGCGAAGGATCTTGGTACTTTGTCTGGTGCCCAGACGGCTGACTTGGCTGGACATGAGCTGCGACTATGGGTTCTATCCAACATCGTCGCAGCTGCCCCTCTCACCTCCGGCTCGTACCATTCCGCTGCTAATGCCTCGCTTTCCGGACCAACACACAACTTCTCCTGCGCGTCCGGCGCATGCCTTCCCACTGGCTCGAAGATTGAGTACATCGGCCGCGCCAGCAGCGTCATGTTCGCCAACGTCAGCTCTCAATCCACGGGCAAGAACCTCATGGGCATCGACTTTGTCAACTACCACTATGCATTTACCACTGCATGGGAATGGGGCGACAACACACGTAACATGACCATCGCAGTCAATGGTGCTGAGGCGAAGCGATGGGCCTTCCCTCTCTCTGGTGGTGATTGGGAGGAGAGCCTACGACTGCAGATAGAGCTCGACGGCTTTGTAGAAGGTACAGAGAACACGATTGAGTTCCGAGGGTACGGGGACAGTTTTGGGCCGGATCTTGTAGGCTTTGAGATCCTGAACAGCGCTTAGAGTTTCCGCTTGGGTAATTACTTTTTGTTTTGGCAGAATCCATGTGATTTTTACCTAGGTATAATCTACATGCTTTCTACTTAGGCGTAAACTGTGATTTCCACTTAGGTATAAACTATGCTTTGTACTTAGGTATAAACTTTGCTTCGTACTTAGGTATAAACTATGCTGTGTGCTTAGGTATAAACTATACTTTTAACTTAGGTATAAACTGCGCTTTTTACCTAGGTATAAACTATTAAGGTGTGCTTTCTACTTAGGTATATACTATGCTTTCTTCCTAGGTATAAAGTGTGCTTTTTACCTAGGGATTAACTACACTTTTAACCCAACTCTGTAGTTTTTACCCAAGTCTGTTGTTCTTACCCAACCCTATACTTCTTACCTATCTCTGTCGTTCTTACCTAACCCTGTACTTTATACCTAACTTCGTACTTTTTACCCAACTCTGTACTTTCCACCTAACGCTGCGAGTCTGCGGAAGAGGTGGATGCGAGAGGATGTGACGCAGGCGCATCGTCGCGGCGGGATAAATCGGCCTCTGATGTACATCCGTAAGTGTGGCCGTGCCTACGCTTGTGTTGAACGAAGGAAGCTCCGTAGTCGTTGATCAGCGTTTCACCCAAGCATCTTGAGGGGCAGGTACCCCGCATGTGTTTACCCGCGGGTGAACAACCACCGAACGTCCATCATTTAGCTGTCACATCGGGCGAGCTCATTGTTAGTCTACAACTAACAGACAGGATGGCGCCTGTTCCGTACTCCTCATCGCCGCTAACGACGGGTTGGACGTTCAAGCAGGGCGGCCGCTCCTCTACCAACGAGTATCTACCAGCCTGCGATGCCCCAACTGAAGTCTTTCGCGACTTACTCAAACACGACAAGATTCCAGACCCTTTTCAGGATCTCAACGAGCTAGCAGTGCGCTGGGTTGGCGATAAGACATGGACATATCGCACGACCTTTGCTGCGCCTTCCGATTATGGGAAGGCGAACGCGGCCACCACCCTTCGACTTGAAGGTCTCGACACCTTTGCCTCCGTTTTTCTGAACGACGAGATGATTCTGGAATCTGACAACATGTTCATCGAGCATCAAATCGACGTTTCAGGCAAGCTTCAGGCTGAGGACAACGTACTCGAAATCGTCTTTGAGTCAGCGCGCAAGAAGGGCCTGGAGTTGGTGGAACATCATCCAGAACATCGCTTCATCGTACACCAGACGGAAATATCGCGAGGGCCGGTGCGCAAAGCGCAGTATCATTGGGGGTGGGACTGGGGCCCTATCCTCATGACGTGTGGACCTTGGAAGCCAGTATCGATTGAGACGTGGGAATGCCGCCTATCAGCCCTGAATGTGCAGTACGAATTGTCGCAGGACCTCAAGTCCGCGAAATTGAAGATGAGTGTCGAATGGGAGGGTACGACCACGGGTATATCATTCATGGTCTCAAAGAACGGAGAAGACATTGACGGTAGGCGGACCACCATCAATAACCGCAAGAGTCCCCTGGAAACTACTATCACCATGGAAAACATCGAGCTCTGGTGGCCACGAGGCTATGGGCAACAGAGTCTTTACACCATTAGAGCAGAAGCCATTGTGCAGGGTGTCCCGGACCCAATTCACCTCATATCGAAGCAGTTTGGCTTTCGCCGCACTGAGCTTATCAAAGAGCCAGACTCACACGGCACTTCTTTCTACTTCCGTATCAACGATGTCGACATCTTTTGCGGAGGCTCGTGTTGGATACCCGCTGACTCCTTCCTTACACGGCTCAAACCCAATGACTATCGCGAGTGGGTGAAGCTCGCAGCCCACGGCAATCAAACCATGCTGAGGATTTGGGGAGGCGGTATCTACGAAGTGGACGCGCTATACGATGCCGCCGATGAATTCGGCGTGTTAGTATGGCAAGACTTCATGTTCGCATGTGCCAACTACCCAACCTACCCCGAGTACTTGAAAAGTATGGACATCGAAGCAAGACAGAATGCTAGACGGCTGAGAAACCACCCCAGCCTAGTGGTGTGGGCAGGGAACAACGAGGACTACCAGATCGTCGAGCGATATAAACTACAGTACGACCCTGACGACAAGGATCCAGAATCCTGGCTCAAGACCGACTTCCCAGCCCGCTACATCTACGAGCATCTCCTGCCAAAGGTGGTGGAAGAAGAATGCCCAAACACACCATATCACCCTAGCTCACCCTTCGGTGATGGCAAGTCGACGGTCTTAGGAGTGGATCCTACAATTGGCGATGTCCACCAGTGGAACATGTGGCACGGTACCATGGAGCCATACCAACGACTACCAGATATGGGCGGTCGCTTCGTATCCGAGTTTGGAATGGAAGCATATCCTCATGTTTCCACACTCGAGATGTGCATCAATGATCAGCATGACCTCCAACCTGGCTCGATGGCCATGGACTTCCGCAACAAAGCCATTGGTCATGAACGACGTCTCATCAGCTACGTGTCTGAGAACTTCCGGGTGCAGTACTTACTGAAAGGCTATACACATCTTAGCCAGGTGATGCAAGCGGATGCGATGTCTTGGGCTTACAAGTCGTGGCGCCGCCAATGGGGATCGGCTGGCGATCGCAAGTGTGGTGGTGCATTGGTGTGGCAGCTGAACGACTGTTGGCCGACGATGTCATGGGCTGTGGTGGACTATTACAAGGTACCAAAGCCAGCGTACTATGCTATCAAGCGCGCTATGCAGCCCATCACCGTTGGTGTACAGCGCAAGTATAACAGTTGGACTATGCGGCCGGCCGACCGATTGTGGCAGCGAGACACTGGGCATATCGACATGCAAAAGCTGTGGCAGGATGTCGAATACGACCTCTGGGTCGTTAACAGTACGTTGATGGAAGCCGAAGTGGATGTTGCGATACGTTACATTTCAATCGGCACAGGAAAGGACATCAGCACTGAAGAGCGCAAGAAGATACGCATTGCGGCGAATGGAACAACCGAGATACTTACTGGCCATGTTGTCAACGTCGAAGACCCACAAGAGCCCGGTGGACCTTATCGTACATCAAGAGCCGACCCTTTCGTCATCCACGTGTCTTTACACAAGGATGGTCAGCTTCTAGCTAGCGATGTGTCCTGGCCAGAGCCCATCAAATATCTCACTTTCGACAAGCCAGGCGTACATGTGCGCTACTCGGAAGACAAGAAGACAGTGTTCGTCTCTTCTGCGAAGCCAGTCAAGGGCTTCGTGTTTGAGGAGGATACAGAACACCATCTGAGCGACAATGGGTTCGATTTGGTACCCGGTGAAACGAAAGAGGTGCGGGTGGAAGGCCTGCCCGCGACGATGCTGAAATGGAGATATATTGAGATGTGAAAGCTATGATCTGGTCCTTTGTACTTCAGTTCAGGTAGTTCATCACGACATATCCCAAAAGTCATCTTCGGAATCGCTCTCCTCATCTGCAGAATCTACAGGCCTCTCGCTGACTTTCCAGAATGCTGTTGGTCCGGCAGGGCCATGACTAAAGTTGGGTATATGACATTAGCATGCATCTCACGTCAACTCATACATTGATGCCACTTACGCATCAAAGTCCTTGTCAAACCACGTTCCCACAACACCACGTGGGCAGCGCAACCCACCAACTTGAATGCCATCGCTGCGCCATCGCTCCTCACCGCTGTCGCAAAGTCAGTAATACTCTGCCCGGTGTATGCCCACAACTCTCTGTACTTACCCTTGGAATACCGAGATAGTCTGCCAGCGCACCTCTCCTTCCGGTGTCAGGCTAACGGTACCGCGAATACCAGAGTTGGCATTCGGATCCCAATGAGCATCTACGGACTTCGACTTGCCTCTGAAATGCACAATGGGTAGCTTTGAGTTGTCGAAAGGCCGCGGTGCTGTGACATCGGTGATACGCAAATCCATGATGATGTGTCTAATGGCTTCGTCGGTGTTCAGCGCGTCTCTCGGCTCGTCGGAAGGAACTTTCATCGCCTCGGTGCTAAAGTTGTAATGGTATAAGTCGTTATAATCGAGGAAACATACAATCTAGATGCCGTTAGAGAGAGCTGGGGTGCATGCGCGAACAAAAGCTTACACGTGACCAGATACCTTCCACTCCGTATGGATCCTTCATGTTGAGGGAAATGTCCGGTTGCTGTACCAACGCTGTATAGTTCCGTGCGGCGCCCATCTGATGAGCGTCTTCCGGGATCACGCCATCAAGTGGAGCGAACCATGGTGGCCGGAGTTTATTCGATACGGTATGGGTGCAGTAGCAAGAGTTATAGCCGATGACAATCATGATGCTTTCAATCATCTCCCAATCCACTCGCATGGTGCCATCGTCACGGAAAGGACCCCACTTGTTGTTATCGGTGTAGTTTCGTAGGTCGTATACACGCGATCTGGCATACGGGTTTGTCGAGAGATCTCTCCTCCCAGCGTTAGATGGTGGGAAGCCGAACAGACTGTGCAACTTTGCGCTGAGTTGTCGACTTTCTTCATCTCCGGCTGGCTTCTGCTTTCCTGTACCGGCACGATCGAAAAGAGAGGACCGGCACATGAATGCGTCGTGATTCTGTGCGATACGCTGGAACTGGTCGGTCACTAATCGTTTGTTGTGAGTCACGCCATAATCATCAAGTGACATCGTGGCGATAAGCTCGTCGACGCACGTTGCGACAAATGTGAACTCTTCTCTCTGCTACTGCTTAGCAACGTTGCCTATAGACCGGAACTGGAAACATACCTTGAGGTCGTTGTTGGCAGAATCGAGGATCTTTTGACATCTCACCACCTTCTGCAATGCTCCTGCCCATTCTGGCTCAGGATCGGCCGGTCTTCGGCGTCGAGGGTCATCCTGCCACATCATTAGGCTGCATGAAATGCGATGGAAGGAAAGAGTATCGCATACAAAGTGCTTCAAGTACAGGGTTTTGTAAAGCCGCTTGTTCTCCTTGATGAATTGGTTGAAGCCTCTGGACGTTTGCGCACATGCCGCGAGATCATGGGGTTCAATCTCCTCCAGAATCCCGATCAGTACATCATAACACAGATCCAGTAACTCGATCATGATTGCTCTCGCAGAGTAAGATTGCTCAAAGCAGTTGGCAGCGAAGGTGAAAAGCGGAGACAAATCAAGGGTCCAAGTGGTGACGATGTGGGGTCCGGAGATAAGGCCTATCACCGTGTAGTTCGCAGCGGGCTGACGCTACTTTAATACTCCCTCGTTCTCTGAGGTTTGCGCGCTACTTGGTGCTTGCTGAGAGTCTTGTGTAACATGAGAATGTCTGTGTAACGAAAGAGGACGCCGCTGTCTCGAGCGACAGGTTGGACACCTGCAAACGTCACAACGGGCGCTAGCGCAGCTTTTAGTCAGCAGGCAGCCGGAACGCCGAAATCCATCAGCTTTGGCCGACCATTCTAGTGAGATTACACATCGTGCAATTTGTCAGGGCGCAGCCAAAATTGCTGAACGATCCATCGACCGGACAGAGGTATGAGCCTTACCACTGCAGAAAACAACTACTCAGAACGGCTCGTTCGCGAGGTCGACGTGTTGCGCAATAAATCGGACCAGGAAAGCGTTAAGATAGTGGCTCTTTCAAGGATGCGCGTCGCTAGACCAAGAAGCTGAGTTAATCTCGAGGATATGTCAGCATCACGCGAAAGGAAGACATATTAAACATGAAAGCAATGCAATTGGGGTATCTAGGTCAAGCAAACTACCACTCTAATCGATCATCACACGTCAACCGTACATCCCACCTGTCGTCTCCCTTCCACACCTCACCACCCTTGTTGTTCTTCGCAACTATCCGCCTAAGATCGCTAATCATACCACCGGGTCCCGAAGCGAACACCTCGGTGCCTCCTCGTACAGTACCAGCAACGAACTCTGACACTAGGGTATCTAGGTCAGGCCTGGCTTGGATGTGGTTGAGACCCAACTCGGACTTTGCGACACCATGAACGGATAGCGCAGAAGATGCGTCAGCAGATGAAGAGTCGGAGGCGGAGTTGATCTCCTTGGAGCACTCGTTGGGCGCGGCCTTTTCTGAGACTGTGAGATCGAGGTTGGCTTCTTCGGCGGCGCGGGTGACGTAGATGTGAATACCGGTTCGTAGGTTTCGGCACTTGCGCTTGAGGGTCGCGAGTTCTGGACCGACCCAGTCGATGTCGCTCCTTCGGCGTATGCTCCAGATGAGCGTCATGTGGCGGTCGGGTGACTGTGGGCTGGAAGCGAGGTCGAGAAGTACGGGGAGGACGTAAGCGATACCGGTACCGCCAGCAATGCAGAGGATGTTGGAGTTGGCAGCAAGACCACGCATGGTACGCTCGCCATAGGGCCCGGTCATGACGACAGAGAGGCGGGCATCAGCCATTAGGCTTTCGTGCGATTCTTGGTGGCTTGACATGTTCGCAATGCGCTTCATGGACAGATCGGCAATCTTCTTCGTCTCTCCGCCCCTTGCGCGGAAAATGTACGAGTGGCGCTGGGAGTCAGCACCATAAACCGGGCGGCTGATTGGTGTAAATGGGTGGGACTGCCAGATGGAGCTATCCGGGAATGTGAGGTAGAAGTGCTGGCCGACTGCCCAGGCATCTTGAGGATGGTCAAAATCCAGACGCACGACATCGCCATTGACATCGTCCTTGAAGAGCGCGACGTTTGCAGAAGCGGCGCGGAAACCCATATGGCCGGAGGGCAGGAAGTTGTAGTGAAGGAGTGCTGACCTGGCGAACCGAATAGCGCGGTCGACGAACCAGACGAGGAGTCCGGGTAGGAGGAAGACCTTCAGTTGCTCCCAGTGTCCCCAGCACGCTCCAATGTACACCATGGCGAGGACGTAGTGGGCCTTGCGGAAGAATTCGTAGCCAGTGAGTCGGATGCCCCAGGGAGTGGAGAGCACAACCATGAGGAGCAAGAGAAGCATTGCGACTATTCCCCAGATGATGTACTCTTGGGAGACCAACTCCTTGATAACTTGTGGCTGGGGTTGATAGAGCTTAAGCTCGATAATCAGCCAGCCGATGGTGTGGAGGGTGGACTGGATGAAGATGACGTATCCCAGCCAGCGGTGGAGGAAGTTGAAGCTCTGGTATGGCAGGCCAGTGACGAGCGACAAGATAGACTCGCGCGTCGAGAGCATAACGGAGAGGGGGGTAAGGGCATATGCGATGACGCCAATGCGGTCTGACCATGGTCCGAGACTGGTACGGGTATTGTAGACGCCGGGATACTTCTTTACGGGCGTGATCCATTGCTGGTAGACGATGCCGATAAAGGTGAAAACGGTCAGGTACGCCGTCAAGACGATGAGGGTCAGGACCTGGGTGCGAGTGACGCGTCCGAAGATTGGTCGCGCCGCATCAGGGAGAAGGTATTGCCGTGCGTATGATGGAATTGCCCGTTGAAGTCGTTCGAATGCGCTGCGTCTCTGCGGTACTCCTTCTCCTGCTTCTGTTGGTAATTGCACGCCGGATGGCTGCGAGGGCGCAAAGTGTCGGCCAACGCCCCACACCAGCAGAATGGCGCCGATGGTTGCCCATACGATGCCCATGTAGAGCATGCCATTGTCGTGACTGCGGTAGACAACGTCGAGGTACAAGCAGGAGCCAGGGTCGCTGGTGCAGGGGACGAGGCGATCTGCGTAGCCCCAATGCGGCTCGACAGCGCTCGCCTCGGAGTAGTTCTGGATGTGCGCACGCGCGACGAGCATGTCAGCGGCCATGGTCAAGGCAAGAATTGAAGATGCGATGCGTGCTGCATGTTTCGGGGTGGAGTGCGCCGCATATGTATATGACCTATCGCCGGCCGGGCATTGCACACCGGAAACGTGGTGAGCACGTTTCGCAAAAACGCGGGCCAAGGCTTCGAGAAGTGGGCGGCGACGCTTAGGCGGGTCTTTGGGCGGTTCCCGCTCTCTTGGGGCCATCAAAGTGGCTAGTGCGAGTGTGTTTGAGCAAGTTCCCCCATAATTCGCGGCGCGATTGCCGGCTTGCTTGCTCGGGCCAGACTGTCGTGAGACGGCATCTCGTTCCTACATATCATGGCTTCGCATCTGCAGTCGCAGGGTCTGGTCCGACGTCTACTATATCATTTTGACAGTCCTGTTCCGTGGTTCAGCCTCTGACATCTATCCATCCAAACTTCGCAGCCCAAGAACATCATCGCCATCATGCACGGAATGTCAGGAATGGCCGGAATGGCTCCCAACAGCACCTGCGTCACAGAGGTGTGCAATTCATATCTTGTCAATTCGATATCACGACTCACTGTGTTTAGATGCTGTGGAATTGGCGTGTCGAAGACGCCTGCTTCCTGTCCTCATCATGGCACGTGACCAACAACGGCATGATGGCCGCCAGTTGCATCGGCGCCGCTCTCCTAGTCGTCTGCCTCGAATTCCTGCGAAGAGTCAGCCATGAATACGATGCTCTACTCCTCCGCCAATTCCAGCGCCAACTCAACGCACAACGGGCGGCTCTCGCTGCTGCGACACCCACCAACTGCTGCGACGGCCCCACCTCGACACTCGGTCTCCAACAGGCTACCTTCCGCGCCACGGCACTTCAACAACTTGTTCGCGCTTCTATTCACGGCTTGATTCTCGGTCTTGCCTACATCATCATGTTGCTGGTCATGCACTTCAACGGATATATCTTCATCTCCATCATACTGGGTGCTGTGTTGGGAAAGTTCCTGTGCGACTGGATGGTGGTCAGAATACCATACGGTCAGATCGATGAGAAGGACACGAGACGCTCTTCTATCGAAGCGGCAGGGCCGACTGGGTGCTGTGCGTAGATAGTGTAGGCAAGCTGGTTGCGGTGAACTTTGACGATTAGATACCCTATGATAGAGACATTGCGAATGAATCCTTCTTTCTCCTGCAACTTCCTCTGAAGAGCGTGAGCAGTTGCTTCAATTTCCGAACTCCATGCTACATGTCCCAACAGCTCATCGGAATTCGCTAGGGAACGTACATCGCTCTTGCCGCGGAAATGTGTGAAGCGCACCTGCCAGTACATCAGCTGCAGGGAAACCGCGTACAGCAGAGTCAACCAATCGGAGACCCTCCGTATACATGATCCACGTGTGTAATTCCGTGGGATGAAGCGCCCGCATTTCCGCATGACAGCCATGGTGGCAACCAGAGTCAAGGTCTTGTCGGCCCTACTATTGATACCGCAATAAACTACCTCTGCAAGTCGCGCCCGGTGGTCTTTTTCGTTGAGCACCTTGTGCACCTCGGCCGCTGAGACCAGGTCACAGCTAGGAAAGGGTGGGGTTTAGCGGTCCAACCCTACCCACACCCCACAATAGTGTGGATAGAGTATCCAAGAGCGTTCTTTTGCGCAAGTTGTGGCTACAGGCCAAGTATTGATGGAGGGCTTGGTTCGGAGGTAGTGTCAAGAAAGCCAGCGCCAGGTGGCGAGTGACAAGCCGGTACTTTCCAGATGACTTAATTTCCTGTGGGGATGGTATGCGCAAATTATGGTCAAGTGTCGAGTGCGGGTCGAGAACCTGAACCGCCGATGGTGGCGAAGTCTTGGATAATCTAGTGACAGTTCAGCGAGCCGTTAAGTTGCTACGACACCTGTCGTCTTATAGCAATCTCTGCGGATGTCGCACAAAGAGCAGCTTTGTGAAGTGATGTGATCGAGAGCTACATGTACTGTGCGTAGCCCTGAGTCCATCAAGGTAATCGCTCGGACTTCAGGCTTTTCTACAACCACATTCAGCGGAGAACCAAAACACGCTATGGTCTACATTGAAGTTGAAACAGAAGTCGTTTAATTGCTAACGTAATATAGACTGATGTTGTTTGCTTTCATCTTTCTATGTGGGTAGGTATTCAATTGTTCATCTGGAAGGCGTGCTACAGCCGTACACTTCTGCCAACAACGGATCGTACTGCATTCTCAGCCTAAGAGAGCTCTGTTGAATAATGTTACAGCTTTCGGTTGTTGCAGAAGACGTCCGGCTTGTCGCAACTCGTGGCAACCATTCCTGATGCTCTTCGCCTTTCTGTTCAACAGTACATATTTGGACCTACGAACGCTGTGAATGTCGTCTCTATTGGGGCTTCTAGCGTTGTAGTCAGTGCGAATTTCATGCTCATGTTGCCTGAGTTCGCCATGACGCCTGAACGGGCGGACGGGATCGTACGCAAGATTCGCTTTCCTTTGTCATACGAATGCGTAGTCCGGACTGACCCTCTCCCTATCGGCTTCTGAAGCTGGAGCCCTTAGAGGTGAGCCCTTAGAGGTGAGCTCTCGGTCGTATCGATGACTGGTTATCGAAGACTTCATCGGTGAATGAGGAGGTGAGCGAGCGGCCCTCTCACCTTGCAACTCACCCTCTGTCTTGGCGCAACCATATAGCAGCAGAACAACTCCATTGTGCTTTCGCTTCCTTCCAGACCTTCCAAACCATCCAAAATCGACATGGCTCGTCCATACATGCACCCTAGACACGTGCAAGATCGTCACCTGCAAGACGATACGGTGACTGGCGTCAAGGCTCCGGGGTTGCTGGAGCATCGCGATCACGGCGAGAGATTGGCAAGAAGGTGAGTTGTCGCCCGAGAAATGGACAAGCTCATAGCGATGGCTAACCTGCTGCAGTATGCGCGATGGAGAAATCGGTGTCATTAGACTTGGGCTCTTATTCGAGGGCACATCATGGTCCATCCACAAAACGTTGATGGAGAGCGAGTGCGAAAACCTCCAGTGGAACAAAGGGCTTGCCAGTGAATACTTCATCGGATCTGAACATAGCTCCGAGGCAATCGACCTGCTCGTTGAGTGGCTGTACACTCGGGAGTACGGCGAGAAACAAGGTAAGTTCTGACTGTACGAAGTGCATGTGAGACATTTACTGACTTCGTACCTCTACCTCCGCAGTTCTGGTACAAAACTTTGCTGTATCGAGCTTGCGAACCATTACCCTTCCAGACGGCAAACTCAAAGACCGGGACCTAATGGATTGGGCCATCAAGGCAGCTTTCGCATGCTGGGAACTTGGCGCCAGCTTACGCGCGAAGAACTTCCAGAACTACGCCATGAAGCGTCTCTTCGAAGCCTTCTCTCGACCACTCTCGCAGCTACTGGTGCCGCAGTTACTCCAGCACACATACTTCTTCTGTAAACGATTTCCAAGGGCTTCTTGGCAGCTACAACACCTGATCCAAGATATTATCCTTCGCAACTGGAGTGACGAGACCGTCGTTAATCAAAGGGGCGACTGGTATCCGATCATCAACAGTTGCCAGGCCTTCGGCGATACTTTTCATAAGGCGAAGCATCAGGACGTGGTCAAGAGGCGTGAGAAGAAGCTGAGTCTGACAGACTACCTTATCCACTAGAGTGCCAGATGTGACGATCCAGGTGAAGGAAGGGATTGAGGAACGTCGGAGAAACGAGGGCGCACTTTAATCAGATTGGAGAGACTTGGTGAGAGCTAGCTCTCGAGCAGTTCCTACGGGGTCAGCAAACTTAGTAAAAGCATGATTAGAGCCCCTGGTGTAGGAAGTCAGAACCCAAGTGTACTAGGTATCGAATACAGCATCAGATACCGACAGAGTGCGCAACATAGGGGTGTACGCGAAACATGATGTGACGTGTGCAGGTCGACGCAGTGATGTACGCAACGTGATGCAGCTGACAGGTACGCGACGCGCGCATGTCCGATTGTCGGCCGCTGACATGACTCGTGCGCATCGAACTCGCAGTCGTGCCTGCCCACAACTGACCACGCCAATCCCCTCCTCCTCCTGCTTCCCGGTATCACACGGAAGGCATCACGTTCGGTTTCCAGGCTGGTGGATGGGTGGATCTGCGCTCAAGAAAGCCTTTGCTGCTGTCGGGACCCGAGGATGAAGGATTAGCCGCCGTTAGCACGTCTTTCGCACGAGCACCCCAACCGTCAACCCCACTCACGCCAACCCGCCAGACCCTTGATTTCGTTTACAGCAGCAGCGACGATGGGATGCGATTGGACCCCGACGATGGCAGGAACGGTATGTCTGCGCAGAAAAGCTTCTCAAACCCATCCGACCCGTTTGTACCTTTTCTGCCGCTCCTTCCCTCCACTTCTATTCTTTCCTATCTATAAGGCCGCCACCACGGTACGAGCAAAGTAGCAAATTCTGCAGAAACCCCGAGCCAGCTCCACCGCAAGCCCGGCGGCTATCGAGTATTGGGAGCACCATCGGCAGGTCCGTAGTCGCAGACTAAGTAGCATCATCTCCCTCGGTACCCCCGCTTTACGAAGGCATGACGGAGCAGAGGGCAAGTAGTGGAGTGGTACAGGCAGGCGTCGTGGCTTGCGGGTTTTGATCAGATAATGATTAGATCGAAAATTTTCATCTGATAACCCACGCGTCACGCCACCGCTCGCTCCTATTGGCCCGAGATGCCGGCTGATTATCGAGATAAGATTTTGGAGGCTGTCTGGGCCGTGCTTGGGAAGGCTTAATTCCGGGGAACCAACTGCATTCAGGAAAGTCAAGCTTCGGTGCATGATGCTAGCTGGGAGCGAGCGCGTGATGTTCACGACTATTTCCTTGTTCATGGTGAACGTGAACGGAATTCCCCACCCAGCGACGAGGAGCCGGTAACCGGGCGCGTCTCGGAAAGGTCCTGCGGTGGTACTGCGTGGATCAGTGTTTTCGGTATATGAACCTGAGGCGCGCGCGGTACCTTGTCTTATCAATCTCTTCGTCTCGTCTTCATCACAGCCTCTCTTTTGGTGTGCTTTTACACCTATCGCCAAGATGGGTTTCACTTTCAAGGGATTGACTACCAGTGCATTGGTCTCTGGCAACAGCAAAAATGCCGATGCCAATGAGAAAGACATTGCCGACGTGCCTGCCTCCTACCAGGGCCACACCAGCATGGATGCTGCTCGTCCTGACGAGAAGGTTGGCAGCCCGAGGGAGTCGGCCAGGAGTCGGGAATCGGATGAGGAACTGAACAAAGTCGATACCACTGCGGAGGCAGGTGTTCAGCATGTACAAGCTGCCTCGCTCCTGTGGAAGAAGCGAGACCTGATCCTCGCGTACATTGCGTAAGTCACTCCCTCCACACTGCTCCAGAACTACTCTAACGACAACAGCATGTGGTTCATCCAATTCTTCACTGCCTACGCATCCAGCACCTCAAGCACCCTCGCGCCCTACGTCACCAGTGACTTCCAGCTGCACTCCTTGACCGCCCTGACCAGCGTCATCTCCTCCATCGTCGGCGGTATCTGGAAGCTCCCATATGCCAAGATCCTCAACATCTGGGGTCGACCTTTCGGTCTCGGCCTGGGTGTAGCCATCTACGTCCTCGGTCTCATCTTGATGGCGAGCTGCAACAACGTCAAGGCCTACTGCGCGGCACAGACCTTCTTCTACGTCGGTTCCAACAGTATCGACTTCTTCATCACGGTCTTCATCGCCGATACTTCCAAGTTGAGGAACCGAGCGCTGTTCATCGGGTATGCGTCCTCTCCATGGCTCATCACCACCTGGATCTACGGATACGGCATCAACAGCATCACTGCTCCTGGCGGTATCGGCTGGCGATGGACTTTCGGCATCTTCGCCATTATCGCGCCTATTGTCACCTCACCGCTCATGCTTCTGTTCATCATCTACGAGGGCAAAGCAAAGAAAGAGGGTCTTATCACGCCCCGCCCCAGCCGCGGTAATTTCGTCCAGACCCTCAAGTACTACCTCCGCGAATTCGATGCCGTAGGCCTCCTGCTCCTCGCCGCTGGGCTCTCCCTCTTCCTCCTCGCCTTCAACATCTACTCCTACCAGGCCAAGCAGTGGGCTTCACCCCTCATCATCTGCTTCCTCGTATTCGGCGCCCTTCTAGTCGTCGCATTCGGTCTGTGGGAGAAGTACGGCGCACCCGTCACCTTCATCCCGTGGCCGCTGCTCAAGAACCGAACCGTCATCTTCACCTACACCATGGCCGGTTCTTTGTACATCGGCTGGTACTGCTGGGACTCGTACTTCTACTCGCTTCTTGTCGTCTTGTTCGACCAGAGCCCTGTACACGCTACTTGGATAGCCAACATCTACACCATGGGCAGCTGCTTCTGCTCCATCGTTTACGGACTTGTGCTGCGATACTACGGAAAGCTCAAGATCTACTCTTTGTTCTTGGGTGTGCCGCTCACCATGCTTGGTGTTGGTCTCATGATCAAGTTCCGCCAGCCCGACGAGAACATCGGCTACATTGTCATGTGCATGATCTTCATTGCCTTCGGTGGTGGTATCCTGGTTATCTCTGAGCAGACCACCTTGATGGCTGTGTCTAAGCAGCAAGACTTCCCTGCACTCTTGGCCGTCGAGTCTATGATCATTTCCATCGGAAGCGCTATTGGCTCTACTGTTGCGGGTGCTATCTGGACCGGTGTTTTCCCTGCTCGCCTGATGGCTAACCTGCCTGAGAGCGCCATGGACAACTTCGCTGCCATTTACGGCGACTTCAACGTGCAAGACAGCTACCCTGTCGGCAGCCCCACTCGCGATGCTATCAACCTCAGCTACGGTCAGACACAGAGGTACATGCTTATCTCGGCTGTCTGCGTCTACTGCATCACGCTTTTCAGTGTTGGCTTCTGGCAGAATGTCGATGTCAGGACCATGAAGCAGAGGACTATTGGTCTTTTGTAGATTTGTTGTCATTAAGATAGTTTCGCATTGCATTGGCGGCGTCTTGTTATGTTGATGGTTGTTGCATTTACTGGCAAAAGGCTCGGGAACCCAAGTATTTCTTGCATGTCATCATGGCAATGGCTTCATAGTAATGAAAGAGCAATGTTCAAATTCCATCCAAGACTTGTAATGAACACCTTGTACGCCGTGTGTATATGCTTGTTGTATGCTTCCTCAACTCCTCAGCTCGTCTGTTGAATATCTTAACAATGATGCTTGTAATACAAGCTCTAAGAATGAAATGTAGGGTATGACGCTAGAAGATCACGCAAACGATCTACAAAAAGAAAGCCACACCCAAAGCTAACCCCGACATATAGCCAAGGGTAGCAGTCAGCGAGCTGGCAGCACCCGTAGCGCTAGCCGCTGCAACCTTCGTCGCATCGTCAGTTGTCGTCGCAACAGGTGAAATGGTAGCGGATCCAGATGCGGTGGCAGCCGGCTTCGCGGGCACACTTGTCGAAGAGGAAGACTGGCTGATTACGGGCTTGCTGGGTTTCGCACTCACATCACCACCTGATTTGGCCATCCCGGACACCCACTTGATCACCTCTTCGTTGTGCATGAAGAAATAGTTCAGGTGCTCGTTTGTGTCTGGGGGCGATGATCCAACGGCGCAGATAGGGTCGCCGTAGTGGCAGTAGTCGAGGAGGACGTCGGCGTAGGCGTTTAGTCCTTTGAGGTGTTCGGGGCTGCGCGCACTGGTTCCGTCGTAGTCTACGCCGCGGCCGACTGTGAAGTTTTGGTCACGGGAACGGACGACCGCGCCAAATGTTACTGCTGCGACGACTGGAGCGGAGAAGTTAGTAAACGAGTGTAGAGCGTGACTTCTTTACACGTGCGTACGTACCATTGGAACCAATTGACGCATCCAGAGCTGGGTTCATGTCTTGCTCACATGCAAAGACTGGACCTCCTCCTCCACCTAGCATGTCCTGTGCGACTGATGCTCCCTGCGAGAAACCCAAGACGATCAACTTGCTGTCTGGGCACTTTTCGCTGTACGCTTTCATCTGCTCCTGTCCGTTCTTGGCACCCTTGCTTGCTGATTCACACCAGGCGGTTGCTCCCCATGCTGAGCTCTTTGCAGGATACTCGACATCCTCGTAACCGCATTCTGATGACCCTCCAATTGCGGCGCAGATCTCCGATGTAAGGTTACCCAGGCGGCCAGGGTAGGGTTCGTCGGAGCCTCGTGCGACAAAAACGTGGAAAGGTTTGCAGTCGTCCGCGTGGTAGGCGAGAATTTCCGTCGAGTTGCAGTATATGCCTGGCGAAGGCGCGTCGCAGCGCTCTTGAGCGAGCACGAGGCTGGCGCCGACGGTAATGGCGAGGAGGGGAAGTTGCGAGACCCTCATATTAGCGTAATTACAAAGTTCGGTATAACGAGTGACTAATGTAGGTAGCCGCGAAAAGAAAGGTAAACTGAGCGTCCTGTCCCCAAGAACGCGTGATTAGTAGTAAGCAGTAAAACCCCGGAAGCAGCTTCGACAAAGGCAGGGCAGACGGGAGATATACACGACACCAAGCGGGCACCTGGGGCAGCCCTGAGAAACCTGATACTACGAGGATCAAGAAGTCCCAGGCGATCGGCGCCCATGATGTGAGGGCACGGCCCCCACAGATGGCATGCATGGGCTTGAGCCTGCTTTGGCATGTTTGCCTTGGGGCTATCAATGCTATTCGACAGAAAGGCTGCGTTTCGACAGAAAACGTCGATTCCGCCCCGTCGGCTAGCCGCAAGCGGCAAGACCCCACGCGCCAACTCGGATTTCGGCATCCGGCCAAGCCGCCCTGTGCCACAGAAGCCACATCAAGCCGCCTGTCTGCAGGAACAAATCTCGCCCAAATCCTTGGGGCTTGCGCGTCCCGTCATCGAGGCGTCAAAAGGGGGGATTGGTATCGGGGGTTCTGTGGGTGTTGTGCTGGATTACTATTCAAGGCGCGTCGCGATGTATGTAAGCAGCGCTATCCTGTTGTTGCCGTCTGCCTCAGATGACTGGCTTTCTTCAGTGAACGCCACACTTGACGTGCAACATGCAACACCGAGTACGAAGGACTGGACGTGCGATCGATCCGTACCGCAATACGATGCAAACGCCCGACGCCTGACGGCCCATGGAGTAGGATTCGTTCGAGACTTCTGGTGCCTGAGTCGTGGGCACTATTTTCATTTTGGGGTCCCCACCTGCATTGGTCTGGCTTCTTCTGCATCCTTCATGGCTGCATCTTCACCTCAGTGTGTTGTTTTAGAGGCCCCTGGATGTCTCGAACAGTTTGGGTGCCGCTGCTTCCGTATCCGTGGACTTGAAGACGCGCGGCAGGTGGGCAAGGGGGCGTCGTCTGAAGTCTCTCTTTTCTCTACCTCCGTCTTCCGGGTGTTGAGATACACCATATTCACCTCTTCTTTCGAGATTATCGAGGGTGATGCATTGCGATGTGTGCATGAGGGCAGTACGCGGTATAGAAACGTGGCGGAGAGTCATTGACGACTTCCGCTTCGACACAAACGGCAAGTGCAGTCCCAGTTGCCTCGACGTCTGCTGTAGCGAAAAACTCAGCTCTATCTACGCATTATTCGACTGAACGCAGGGTTTGCTATCTGTTTCACTCCTTACACAACCATCCACACCTTTTGTCCCTTCACCATCCCATCTTCGCACGTGGCCTTTCGTTTCACTTCTACATGAGCCTCACTCCGCATGCTCTCATACTCTTTTCTATCTTCTACCGTAGGGTGTGTAGTACGTCAAACCCAGGCATCTCAGGGTCGACATGTCACTGCACCTCCATGAGTGTGGTGTGAAATGCCCTTGTGGAGACGACCTCCATGTCAGTCCACACTGTCTTGAACACCACATCCGCATGCACTGTCTACCAACACTTCTACTCACCCCGAATTCACGATGGCGGAGCATTGTAGTCCGCATGGTTTTTCCTTTGCCAGTGGGGCTGTCACAAGGCCAAGATTCCGCCACAGTGAATGCTCGCGCACAAGAAGGTCAATTACGAATCACAAGACCAGGTCCCCAGCCTTCTTAACCCTCTCCTGCTCCATCTTTCCTGCCTGCCTGACGTGAATGGCTCTTCTCGCCGCGGTGACTGGCGTTTCACGGCTGTATCTACGGATCATTTCGTCATAACTCCCCCATTCACTAGTATTCACTTCCGTCAACGGCGCCAAGAACCCTACATCGGTTAAGCGCGATTTCATTAGCGTATACCGACCTTGCTGCCTTCCTCTCCTCTAAACATTGTTTCTCCCTCTCGGTATCAACTCTCTCCAGTGCGAACTGCCTCTGCTGTACATTGTCTCCTCATCTTGATCTATTTCCCACGATCCAGACAGCCTAGCAGTTGCCCAACACTTTCACAGCTTTCTCTCAATCATTTCCACCTACACCTCACTCAGATCATCCACGCCCACCAACTTCGCTGCCATGGCTTCCATCCGCGAGACTATCCGGAACGGCGCAAGCTACCTGGTAGGCGTCATTAGAGAGAAGGCGCAGATCCAGTACCAAGAGGTATACCTGAAGCTCGAAACCCATGCTCGCGTATTTAAGGTTTGTATATCCCTTCGGATGGCGTCCAGACTACGACTAACCATGGACATAGCTTCCTTTCCTGAGATCAACCCCCTATATCGTCGCAGCAGGACTCAACAACGTCCGCGACAGCTCTACGCGTACAGAACTCCGGCCGCGGGTCAAGGTTAGAAGACTTGCTGTTCAGACTAAACGCCATCCGACTGACTCCCCGAAGAAGCAGCAGACCTACCACACCGTCGCCACAGGCCGCATTGCGAAACCCAAGCGAGAACCCCATCCCCGAGAACTGGACCCCAAATGGTACGACATGGCCATGAAGCGGAAGTCCGCAGAAGAGTTCTACGAGCGCGAAATGCGTCTCCGAGAGAACGAGCGGAGGGAGTTGGTGGAGCGCAAGCGACGTCAACAACAAAAGCGTCATGTTCCTTACAAGCGAACCTCATTGGAACGCACAACCGGTATCAAGGACAAGCGTCCCCGGTGGACGTCGCAGCCAGCACTCCCGCCGCCAAAAGCTTTCAGCAACTTACAACACCCCGCCGAGTTCTACGAGAACCAGACCTCCGAGGAGCGCAGGGCGTATGTGCGTGAGAAGCTGACCGACATCCTCGGTGAGGAAAAGATGAAAGAGCCCATCCTTCCTTCCGGTCATAATCCCATGGAACCTGTCATCGCCGAGCACAACCAGCGCATGGCAACAATCAGCCTTCTCAGCCAGTTCGAAGCTCACAAGGTGGACGTACAGCGCCAGTACGACGAGCAGATTCGGCTGGTTCGCGAAGAAGAGGTCACTCGACTCAAAACACAGATTCTCCTTGGTCACTACAAGGACGTCTACAAGGGCCGTATCAACGTGCTAGCATGGCATACCGGCCACATGCTCGAAGGCATCGACCGACTTGAACATCTGCTCCAGACCGGAGAACAGTGGGAGGTGGCCAAGGTCGTGCAAGTCCTGACCCACCAAGTCTTTGAACCCGTTAAGCGAGTGCTTGAAGAGTTTGACGCTGATATCCCTCTGGATCCGGATGGCGCCCAGAAGCTTAAGGAAGCCTGGCCCATGGCTCGTCTACAGGCACTCTATGACTTCTTACTGGGCAGGTCCAACAACCTGGATTTACAGACTATGAACATGGCCCAGTGTATTGAGGAGATTCTTCGACGTCTTAACAACCCGACGGTATTCGTCGACCCTCTTGCGCCCAAGCCGCTGCCGTTCAGCGACCTCTATCAGAGCTCCAGCTCTACAAACGCCAACACAATGGCGAACACTACATCTCAGACCGCCTCTTCCCTCCCTGGCGCAGTTCCACCACCCGCAGGAGGATGGTCCTTCCGTGGCCGAGCCTCAACATCCGGCCTCGACCCCGACGCCCCCCAATCCTCCATTCCCAACACCACCACCACCACCACCTCCTCCGCACCACCCGGAAGCGGCCTATCCAAGCTCTACGCCGCAACCGCCTCGAACGCCGCCTCCAAAGCCGCCAACCCCCAAATCCCATCCATCACCATCGAGCCCGGCGACAGCGCCGCCCGCACCTCCGTCCTCCAGTACATCAGCACCGACAACATGGTCCTCCAAGCAGAAATGGAAGACATGTTCCGGCACGCCGAGCCCAAGAACAGTCACCGCCGCGCTGTCACCGAGTGCATCAAGGGGCTTGTTGATGCTGCGGGTGGTGAGGATAAGGTGCTGGGTACGATGGATGCGTCGTATTATCGCGCGCAGATTGAGGAGTGTGTGAGGAAGATTGACGGGCTGGCGAAGAGGTATAGGGAGGTTAAGGAGACGAAGGCGCTGAGGAAGCTTTGTGGGCTGGCGTTGAAGATTTGGGCGGTGCATGGGTGAATGGGGGTTGGGAGAGAGGTCATTGAGGCTCAAGACCGTAAGATGAAGACTACCCGCTCAACCGTCAAGGAGCACAAGGATCTCATCAGGTTTGGATGGTGGGAGCGAGAGGTGAAGAAAATAGTCTCTTCGCTGGTGCCATTCTGAAGCTTGATTCTGATCTCTTTCGCTATCATGAGACACCCGGAAGGATGGCGGGAAGGGCCAGAAGTGCTCTTCCTCATGACTTCACGACATTACGGCTTACGAAGCCACGACTACCACATCTTCTTTTCTCTCACGCGGGTATCGGAGATATCCAGTCATGCAATTCCAGCGAGCAAGCAAGTTTTGCCTTCTTTTTTGTTAGTCGTTTACTCTTTCGATCACATTGTTTCCTTAATCTCTCGAGACCTACCGCGGTCCAGAGGTTGATAACTCATACGTCCATTACGGCTACAAGCGAAGCAGGGGACGACGCCACTGTCAGTTGAGAGGTCGCAAAGCCGTGGGGACGTCTCAGCTCGCTGCCATTCCAGCGTCCATAGCAATAATAGTCAATGTTACTCATGTTCAAAATACTCCTCACATGCGAGCGGCAGCCGTGGATTTGACATCGCCACCGCTGTGATTGCTGTAAACCTGAAGCTAATAGTCGCAAGCTGGTACTGGAAGTAGCTTCTTGCGGCTCGAGGTGCTTTAATGTTGCAGCGACTGCGCTCTTAGGCGCGTCACCGAGTTTAGTAGCCTCTGCTATAACAACAATCCTAAAAAGTGAAGAACAGTTATAAGAAGCAGTGGTAAAGAGCGCGAGAACAAAAGTGTGGTGTTGTGGAAGGGTGGTGGAAGGAGTCTGAGTGCCGAGGAATCGGACTGAAAGACAGTGAAGTATGACCGTTGTCGAGTGGTTCTGTGGGCATGAAGGTAGACATGCGCAATAGAAACAGGCCTCAGGCTGGTGCGATCACATGTCAGAGGCTGGGCATGTCCCTACCGGACCTTTCCCTTCGGATTGGCATTCCGCAAAATTCCCAACTGAGCAGTATTACTTGGTGTAGTTTCCAAATCGCTGCTTCAAATGCGAATCTATTTGAAGACATTTGTGATGAATGGAGGAATGAAAACGATGTCGTTGGCTGCACAAGGACGGAAGCTGGAGACGCGCTAAAGGCCCGGATCCCGGTCGCGTTCCGAAGTAGCTTGAGGGAGCGCCATCCTTCTTCCAACAACTCCATCGCGCCATGAACAGCCATCCCTCGCCTATGGAGCACATGGACGTCGAGAGGAGGTCGTCTTCGCCCAAACGCAAAAAGGTCCGGCAAAAGTACGCGCCCAAAGCATGTAAGTCGCGACACTCGCTCTGGTTCGGCGCATCTCGAGCTTCCTATGCGGCATTCCGATGGTTCCGTAGTGGTTCGACGCAGCTCGCGCGACAGGACGACGAGGTCATGCCATCAGCCGGCTGACAGATTGTGCAGGTGTATCATGCAGGCGATCCAAGCTCAAGGTATGTAAGCTCTTTTGTACATTGGCTGCCTCGGCCACTTCTCTCGCGACTGCATCGCGACTGCATCGCGACTTCCCCATGCGACAGCGTCGCTTCCGCATCTACGAACTCTCACAGCAACAACCACAATAGGCAGCGACTGACGTCAACAGTGTTCCGGAGAAAACCCATGCCAACGGTGCATGGACAACGGCAAGCGATGCTTCTTCTCTGAAGACCAGACGGCCGCCGAAGCCCTGCAGAACCTCAGTCGACCCACGCCTGCCCTCCACACACAAGCCTCGAATACCAGCGCCAACGGCAACAGCCATAACGTACCACGGAGAAGCCTGATGCCGTCGGAAAATGGCACAGAGCGGAGGGCGAGCGATGCCAGTACACGCGGTATGACCATGGAAGCGCGCATGGCTCGAATTGAGGCTATGATGGAAGCTCTCATGCGCGACCGAGGTCTGACCATGACGCCAATGGGCAGTGTGGAGCGTGACCAGAACGGCAGCGATGCTTTCAGAGGTGACGCCGCGTTGTCTGTTCCGCCGCTGGATCCCATCAACCCAGCTCTCGCCTTCATGGGACAGCCCTCGCTCTTCTCAGAGAACTCCCTAGAGCCAGCCAACCCCGTCGCCCCAAGCGTTGGCTCTCCTATCAACGGCGACCCATCGCACCTCGTACAAGTCGGCAACAGGAAGCTACCCTTTCCTAGTCCCGCCGATTACCAACAGTACCTAGCCTCCTTCTTTACCGACATTCACCTGTCTCATCCGTGCATAGATGAACCCGAGTTCCGCAACCGCAGCCAACACATGCTAGCAAGCACGACCATACCATCAGAAGATCGCGAGTTTCTCGCGCTGAACTACACCATCTTCGCATGCTGCGACGTACTCCTCAATGTCGCACCCATCGACACTGGCAAGCCTGCGGGCTGGCGCTGGCTTGAGATGGCTGACGAGCTCGTCGACAAGAGGTCGCTACTAAGCGGAAGCGGTGATCTGACGCTGATACATTGCGTTCTATTCCAGGTACGTGTTCAAAAGCTCCGAGCTTGATGCACACAGACTAAGAATTGTAGGCTATCTACTACCAATACGCAGACATGCCCGGCCCAGCTTACAACACCATCGGCGCCGCTGCAACACTCGCTTTCCAGTCCTCCTTACATCAGCAATCCACGTGGACAAACATCACGACGGTTCAAGCATATGAGCGCATCTGCACCTTCTGGAATATATTCGTCCAAGACCGATTTATCTCATTGACGTGTGGAAGACCATACAGGATCCACGAAACCGACATCCAAGTCGAGGCACCTGTAGACCTCTCACAAAGGGTAAGTAAAGTCCACGACTCTTATCCTTCCTCCCGCTGAACAGGTCTGGAGACTACATCAAGATGAACATGCAGAATGGGTGTCTTGACGTCGATGTCGCCTCCAGGGTGTTCAGTTTCTTCCTAGATCAACGTATCCTCCTCCTCCTGCTACCTCACGCTCACGTTCTATAGGCAAACCTCTACAAAGCCGAGGATAATGATGACCCCAGACCTTTCATCGATCACTACATCCACTATGTCATACTCTGGGCGCGTTACGCCAGCAACGCTGTCGATGGTCGCAGTCTGGATAGCACAACCCAGGATATCATTGATCGGCAGATCTCCCACTACCTCGATCACGACTTACCAGTACTGGGGATGCCATCATACGCTCAGCGGGATGGTGATGGGGATGTACCACTGACGATGTTCATCAAACAGAAGAAGACAGACTTCGTTCTGTGGGGGCTACGTTCCGTCATAATCTCCCTGCAATACGACGACAATCACGCTGAACACCTCAGCCAACTTGCCTGCGACACCCTCACCAGAATGACCTTCTTTACGCGGAAAGTTCGTCAGCCATTCAGCCTTCGGCATCGCATGACGTCGGCCCTGTCGAATGCACTTCTGGTATTTTGCTCTCTTCTCGTCCGCGACTCTGCTGGAAGGACGCATCCCCACACCGAGGCCCACATCGAGGCCTTCCACCGCGCTAAGGGCATGCTACATGACTTGGCCTATAGTCAGCCGTATGCGAAACGCGTCTTGTCTGATTTCGAAGGCATTGTGCGTGTGGTGGAGGATTGCCTCGATGGGAAAGATGCTCCAGAGAATGTCGCTGAGCTGTTTCCTTACCAGTCTTCGAGCGCTGACATTCGTGGCGTATTGTGGTTGTAGTGGACATGGAATGACGGGAAATCGGCGTTTTCATGGTTTCAAATGTATTTCACTCTGTGTACCAACGGCTTGCATAGATACCCAATGCCCTCGTACGGGCTAGGAGACGGCGTTTAGGGTTAATTTACTTTCATCATGTTACCTATTGCTCACACCTCACTTTTGTTTGCCGCATACATCAGCATAATTCAGCAGTAAGTGGAAAGAAAAACGACACTTGCAGCATACAAGTGTGATATGCTCTGACAGCACGCCTGTCAAAAGACAACGAGTAGCTCTTAGATGTACTGTAGAAGAGACATGTGACGAATTTTCAAGGCGCGGTAGTCTCCAGACAACAAAAGGGCCATGGCGTGCAGTACTCATCTCCTGCTCCCAAGTGCAAACTGGTGAGCTTCTTCACCGCGTTGACGACTAGAACTAGGCACATCCTCATTCCGAAGTCGAGAGAAGAAGCACTGCATCGTTGACGTAGGAAGGAGATACATGCAAGACTCACGGGCATGGAGATGGTCTATGAAGGAGACTGGTCATTGCTAGAATGCGACCTGAAGGTCTGAATAGTACAAGCAGAGGCGCTAGCTTGTTGTGGAGAGTTTTCAGTGCGCCTACCCGGTCGATCACGTGCTACTGCTGTTGCTTGGAGAAATTGAAACAATAACAAACGAGAGCTAATGTCACGGTTTTCATTTTCTCAGTTGTGCCGAGACTCTCCCACCTACGTACCGTCTCCACATTGTGACACCTTTGGAACCTTTGCGGCGCAGCCCGTCAAGCTCGACCATGGATAGGGATTTCGTCCACCGGTAAGTAAACACTATCACGGCTGACAGACATCCTACTGATTGATTGAATAGCTCTCTGCGAAAAGTGGCACTGACGCGCCACGTTTCCACTCTACTCGCACGCCGCGAAGCAGACGAGCGACGAGCGACTTGGTACCCATCCAACCCGGGCCTCTCGATGAAAGAGAAGCATCGTCTATACCAGCTCAGACGCCGCGATCGCCCCAGCGAAGATACCCGCACTAGACAACCGGAATCAGAGCGAATCGGTCAAGCAGCAAAGAAGCTCGACGACGAACTCAACACGTACATGGCGACCCACGCAAAGCAAGAGTGCATGACACTGTCCGAGATGATGCAGAGCAAACTACCACGGGAACTACGCGATATGGTGTACGCCCATCTACTCCCACGAGAGACTTACACCGTCGACCGCCAAAAAAATGACTTTTACCTACGGCGGATCAGTTGCGATCATCTCTTCACGCGCGGATACGTTCCGATTGATACCATGAAAGAGATCGGCGAGATGTGGTACAAGGTATCGACTTTCGTAGTCTGCGCCTCTGATGAACCCGAACGAGCTTCAGAAGCCTTGAACTTCCTCCACGATGACACTTGGGGCTTGGACATCGATGTGTACCAACATGTCAAGCACATCTATGTCGGTCTCGATTACATCCACGGCGTCGACGAGATTATTGGCCATCTAAACGCCAATCTCCGGAAACTTCTGTCACTAGGAGCAAATGCGCGCGTCGTTCTATATCTCCAATGTCCACACAAGCATTATGTGACGATGAGAGAGCAGCCAATAATAGCTTTTGTGAGGAAGCTTCGACCGATCTTCCCTGTCCTGGAGGAACTTGTCAGAGAGGGAAAAAGAGTTGTGGTCAACGTGAAGGGCTATGATGTGTTCGAGGTCAAGGTTGAAACACTAAATGCGCCGAGTTGGATCAGTCAGTTGAACCAAATGCTCTCCGACAGACATTTGAATGACCTCCGGAGCGATCAACTGAACAGAAGCATCGGGACACAATCCTAGCTAGCAGCTTGTGCTGAAGAGCAAAGAGATTGCGTCACATATGAGTGGAGGTCTACCAGTCTACATTGGTACAAAGCTCGCTAGGATTATTGCATTGCACTATATAAGAGCACACAAAAGTATTACAGTAGCTATCTTGCAAATGAAAAACATTCCAATGCATAGCAACCAATACTACCGTCCCCATCACACCCATATTATCGCGACGATGTAAATGACACATCCAGGCTACGTCACTCTACAACTTCGCCTCCCTTTTCAGGATCGGATCAACCCACTTCTTCCACCCCTGCTGTACCCCATCATTCTGCCACGCCTTCTGATTGATAGGCAACTGCTCGACCCATCGCATGATGTTCTCATATACATTGCCGTCGTACATACCCAGCGCACTGCAGAGACTGGCATCGGTAAAGTCCCATGCGTCAGTCAGAGCGACAGCCTCGGGCAGTAGTTGATCGAGCAGGCCGTTGACAAGATGCCGGATAGTGTCGAGCTGTCCCGAAGTGAAGTACGGAGAACGATCGTCGCTTGTCTCGATAAAGGAGACTGCGTCGATGGTACGTGGGTTTATGATAGTCGATAGGGCGTAGAGGGAGCGCATGCGGTTTAAGACGATGCGCAGGTAGTTGCACGTAGAGTCAGACAGGCTTGAGATGAAGTCGGTGAAGGACTTTAGGATGAAGTACTCGATATGGGCTCGCGAGGCGGAGATGAGCAGCATCATATGTTCGTTCCATGCATCTGCTGGCAACTTGCTTGATGCGCGGATTGCCGAATGCGCCTTGACGACCATGCGGTGTGCACGGTCGCGATAGATGGCGAGTTGTACCTTAGGGTCGAGAAATTGCGTTGCGGATGCGCAGCATGGAAGGTTAGGGTCTTCGATATCGGTCAGGTACTGCACGTGGGGCTCGATCGGCTCGCCGTCTTGTAGGCGGTCGAGTTGCTTGAGGAGATGTCGCCCGAGTTGTTGCCACAGAACGTAGTTCTCGCCCTCGAAGGTTGCTCCACCGACCAAGGCACCGACGATGTCTGGTAGGCCTGAGATAGACATGTACCCATGGCCGCCGCAGAGCTTGCGCGCATCTTCGGCGCCATCAGCGGCCTCAGAAGTGACATACGCCTTCATCCCAGCAGTCAATGCGTGGACAGCCGGCAGAAGAGAGTGGTCGTTCTTGCTCTGCATCTCCCGGAGCTTGTTATACTGTTCGTCGCAGACCCGAGAGCCGGAGAACATGGCGTACGTCTTAGCGATCAAGCTCAAAAGACGGAAGTGCTGATGCTTGTAGTGTAAGATGCTTCCTTCAGTCTCAAACGCATCGGCAGGCCCGAGGCCTTGTTGTCGTACAACAGAGTATCGTGTCGCGATCGTCAAAGCTTGGGCTAGCTGAACCGTAAAGACACTGGGCATCCTGCCACGGACGAGCAGCATGACGGAGTACGAGAGCTTGGCGCGAAGGGGGTCTTTGGTGAATGTGCCGTCGGATGTGAGCTGGCTATGTGCCATGAGCATCTGCGATCGAGAGATGCGCACGTTGTCGAAGGAGGCGAAGCCATTGTCAGCTTCGTTATAGCTGGGTCTTGGTGAGCGACTGAACTCCTGACGTCTTCTGCGATCTCAATACTTACCCAAGCTTAAGGCCAACATCGCCCATCTTCACACCTGGCATTGGGGTGCCATCCTCGACTGATCGAAGTTGTACAAGGAATATATGTGGGCCGTGGTCCTGGTCGCCAACGATGAGTCTCGCCATGACTGTGCCGTGTGTCGTCGAGAAGCCTAGCCCAGCAGGCCAAAACTTTGTCGATGATATTGTGGGTGAGTGAACAACGAACTCATCGCGATCGGAGTCGAACGTTGCGGTCGTCTCGATACCTCGCACGAAGGAACCATGACCGAGTTCAGTTTGCGCGTATGTACCAAGTATCTTGCCGGATCGAGCGAGTGGCATCCACTTCGCCTTTTGTTCCTCAGTACCGTTGTGCTCCATCCCGGGCTCGAAGAGGATAGCTTTGTGGCCGAAGGGGCTGTTGGAAGTCAGTTTGTCAGTCGTAGGAGACTCTCCTGACTACTTCAACATACCTAGCGTTCATAAGGTTGTATCGCGGCGTGATCCACACGAAGTGTTCATGGTCATACTTGAGCATGTCATCGAGACACGCCTTTCCCATCTCAAGACCCTGTTCAAAGAGATCCTCGCGTGAGGTCTCTGAGTAGCATCGAGGGAGCTTTGCATTGTCGTCGGTGCCGATTGCTTTCTCAACTCGCTTGAAGGCGGCCCGTCGCTCCTTGACAACTTTCTCACTGCGGATGGGTCAGCGAGGATGTTACATAGACTCACAAACTGTGCTTACCTTCCCCAGAGTATGCATGTAAGCTGGAACGTGTCGAAAGAGGCAGATTCTCTAGCTTTCTGCAACAGCGCGCTCTGGGCATTTGCTACCATATTGACCATTGTCGCTCCAAAGGTATAGACAACAAAACGTGAAGATGAGAGGCGAAGATGCGGGGGCGAAGACTAGGGTTGAGGGTGACCGATCAATATGACCATTTAAGACGTGTTGAGCAAGCCGAGATGTAGCAGTCTATCGCCGGGTGCACTGGGCTTCCCCTATCGATGATGGTGTGCCTCACGTTGTCCCTCTGGGCAGACGCATAACCCGCGCTTGCCATTCTCCAAGCCATGTGTCGCCGTATACTTACCCAATATGAACCATATCTGCATTTATGCGGCGTAGAAGTCCAGATCAAAAATTGCGATTGGCCAGATCGTCCAGATGTCCTGACGGAGATATGCATACATGGTCCTTCCGTTTGCCAGATGCGAGATGCGAAGCTCCATCTAGAGTCTAGCTGATACGGCTCCTTCACTATATTGGGCGATCCCTTGATCTCATGTTTCATAGCTTTTACTCGTACAGTTGGGACTGAACACATTCCAGCGATACGAGCCCATAGCCCCGGCTATGGGGTTCGTTCGACATTCATCTGAATGTTTCTGATGCTACTCCATATCGTGTGCTGTCCTAGAGGTCGCATGTCGGCCAGTTAATGACATCGAACTTTGGAACCGAAGGACGCGGGCCGTGATTGCAAGGGCGGCCCTTGATGGCGCCGCCACGTGGGGAAAGTCCTCATCTTCCGATGGCATATCGAATCGCGTTCGTTTAATATTTGATCCTTCTTCGGAAGGGACGTGAACTGCGATGCTATTCGATGAGATATCTTCGATCAGATGGTAAGGACGTGGAGCGCGTGAGAACGACTAGCAGATGATCCGCTCCTCTAGCACGCATGTGCTTGGCTTCGACCTATTTGTGAGACACATTGGCATAGATGAACGGGGTCTGAGTCCTATCCTTGGTTGGAATGAGGCGGCGTAATGCCTTCAGCTGAGGTAGCAGCAATGTTATAGGGGTACACTCCATTGCGCTACTAGCACCGCGCCCGCCAGTGCGAAAGCTGAGAGATATCTCGGTGATCTACCTTGAGATGTCAAGAGATGTTGTTGGGGCTTCTTTCTTGATTAGCCATATCGGATGCAGACGTGCGGAGACTGACGGATGGCTAGATGCTGAGATCGTGGTGTTCTGCGGTGAGATGACGGCGGGCAGAACCGGGCCAAGCCATTTCGGGTTAGCACGCCATGCAACTTGCCGAGGCGACACGTGCAGAACCTGTGAAGCAACTGCCGCGCATTTCCATGCGTGCATGCCAACTCTGGCCATCCCTTGCTCTGCAACAACGATAGTCATCGCGCTGCTTTCCGGTTTTGTCTGCAGTATGCCTGACCCCTGGGATGAAAATTCGCGCTGGCCCTCCCGAAAATCGTCGGCGATAGAAGCGAGCCTCTTCGAATTTCTGGTACGCGGCCTGCATGTAATCAGCTCCGCATCACCGACTAGAACTGGTCTGGTTCACGAGTACTACGCCAAGCGTGTCTGTAAGCAATGACTACTAATAAGAAGCATTCTCAAGACTTTAGCATTCTTACTCATCGTTCGCATGCGGGTCGCACCGTTTCCATCTTTTCTCCGGCATTTGCCCTGCCCATTCTCGGATTTCGGGCTTAACGATTATTGGTTCTAGGCGCGTGGTACCCTCCCAGGATGTGTGGCAGCTCTTCAACGTTCATCATGATGACGCAGTGGTGTATCTCTTTCCAACGCTTTTGCGGAGCTTGCGGCATTTTCATTCGTGGATCCAGGTAGACCACGTGCTGGCACGATGATGTACAGGGGTTGCCTGCAGTACACGTTATGGCAGATCGGTATAGCCCATGATTAAGTATCAGTCACCTTGAGGTCATGACATAACGCACATGGGCTGGCGCGTCCACTCCACAATGCGACAGTCGCGCGCATTTGTAGGGGGTTGCATCCCCAGCCTCATGCTAGATCAGACTTCCCCAACTCCACACCCCGACCATGGCGCCCGCTGAACCGAACGCAAAGCCTTTCGAGCTCTTGACAGCAGAAGAGCCGAATTTCCCAGAGGAGCGAGAAGGATGGAAAGGATACATCGAGTGGGAGAGATACCCAGAAAAGAAGAAGCAGGCGGCAGAGATCTTGGCGAAATACGACTTTCCTGTACCTCCCGAATTCCAATTGAAGCCGTTGCCCGACACAAACCCGGTGCTTGAAGGCGTGCGATGGAAACACTACCACTATGCGATGGGCAAGACGCTGAAGGATATGCCAGCCGACTCTTGGGAACACGTCAAGAAGGAGAAGAGCGAGGACATGGTCCATGTACTGCAATTCCCTTACAACGGAGAGCCAGAGCGCAAGCGCCTTGTCGAAACCGAGATAACCAACAACAAAGACCACTTTGTGAGAAACCACGGTGGTATACCTGAGATCGACCCGGAGAAATACTTCTTCGAAGTCGAGGGTCTCGTCGACAAGCCAAAGAAGATCACGTTGAAGGAGCTACAGGACGAGAGCATCTTCCCGCGTATGGAGACCTGTGTCACCCTGCAGTGCAGTGGTACGCG